TTACGGTATCGATACCAATTTTATATTCGATGTTGCTTGGTATCGATACCCTTACTATGGTATCGGTACTAACTCGTCGGTATCGATACTGATTGAATCAGTATCGATACTACTAAGCTAATTTATCCAATTATAGCCAATAATATCAGCATTGTTCTATCAATACTGATACCCTTGCCCATATTTTCCAGTTTTAATCCCGATTATCACCCAAATGGGGTCAAATTTTGGTATGTTTACACCATACAATACCATTAAGCTCTTATTTACCTATCCATACTAACTTTCTTTCATTTAGTTTCTTAAAACATCTAAAATCTTCCAAGAATATCAAATTCTACGAATCACACCACTTTCTCTAATATGTTATTAATCATATTTAATGCTTCTAATATTTCATTTACCTCTTTAACAAGTCAATTGTACCAATAAACATCAATAAACACTCCTATAACAACATATCATTTTAAAACCCATTTCTTTAAATCTCAAATATTTTACTAATCACTTAGTTTTAATCCCAATTAAACCTTCCTTAAGCTTCCACATCACTTAAGGTTTCAAAACTATCCCATAATCGAAAGGAAAAACTGATTAATTGAAGTTTATCTTTGGAGCTATGGAGGAGAGCAAAACCATGGGAAGAAGAAGAAGAAGAAAATAGCTTATTGCCTTCCTCATTTTCTTAAATCCATAATTTAAATGGGTTTTAAATTCATTATACTCTAAAAGACCAAAATACTCTCTTTATTCATCTATTGATACAATTTATTCTAACACTATTCCAAATCATTCCCTATATTTATCATTTATTCAATTTAATCATCCAATTTTACATCTTTTCAAGGAAGTCACTGACCTGTTATTTGGGGTATTACAGGTCGGGTCTAGAGCTTATGTCATGAAAATGAACGTAATTTGTGTGAGGATGAACGTACAAACCTTTGACTCTAAAAAAAGAAGAAAATAAAAAAACCTCAATATATGAATCATATGTTAACTAAAGACTCGAACTCATTTCCACCACAACAACAATGTGTAAGCGACCTACAACATGACTCTCTAAAAAAGTCCCAAGCGGAGTCGCCAAGCTGTCATAACCATTTTTTTTATAAAACAATTAATTATTTAAAAAACAATTATGACTTTTATTTTGAAAAATTGGGGATTTATGAATTAATTTGTATTAAATTGAAAGGGAGTCTCCATCGACCTTTGGGTTAGGTAGGTCGAATACCTAAAAACGTCTTTTAAAACAATTTTAAGGAAAATCGTTTTTAAGACAAAAAATGGTATGTGTTTACCAAAAATTCGATTTAAAGGGTCCGGGAGTCTATTACGTTTGGGGAAGGATTATCACCCCACAGCGCCCAAAATTGGTACTCAATCGCTTACACATTGTCATAATGGTGGAAATCATGAATCGAATATAAATTAAAAATATGATATATTTATTAAAATTTAATTAATTTACTTCGAATTGATTAATCAGAGAAAATTCTTTAACTTTAAAAGAAATCTCGAGATTAGCAATCCTCCATCGGGAAAGTTATCTCGTCTATTTCTTATCTGTAAAGAATATTTCCTCCCCGATAAAAATATATATCGAATATATATCTGAATATTGACATTTGCTTAAAATAACTTGCAATTTTAGAAACATACATTGCGTCATTTGAATAAAACCACATTAATTTGTAAAATAAATTAGATTTATTTCAAATTCGTCTTTCGTTCGAAAGTTGTAATTAATCGCACCTCCTCCGTAAGGTGGTACTTTTCACACACATTCTACAACAAACGTTCTTGATAGTAGTTACGGGTAACACATCAAAAGAATCTAATAAATATAAATATGAAACTTGACCATATTTACATAATATACATATAGAACAAAATATTCATTACAAACGAAATTAACAAATTTTATTTAATAAATACATAATATACGAAATACATATATACATAAAGTGTTGAAAACATTTTGATATTTCGATATAACAAATTAAGTTAAATGAATTTTAAGATTTTCCAAAAAGATTTTCTAAGTATATTCGATATAATTATTCAAATATCAAATTACTCTAAATCTTTCAAATGTCATTTTTAATCCTTACTCAAGTGTAAAATTAAGTTTTAATCTTAAAATAATTTCAAAACAATTTTACAAAATATTTCGAACCATTTCAAAGCCAAAAATTCCATATTGCTCAGAGGGAACCGATTCCCCCTGAATGGTTTGGCTCCGAGAAAAACAGAATTCTCGGAGGGAACCGATTCCCCCTGTTTAATGGTCGAAATATTTGAATTTTACACTTAGGGAACCGATTCCCTATGAGGGGAAACCGATTCCCCCCACGCTCCAAGCAGAAATATTAGTTGTTTTCACACTTAAACGGCTCCAATAACTTCATTAATGATCCCCAACGTTCAAAAGTGATTCAAGGTGTATTTAAACAAGCTTAGAAGCCATTGATCAATAACAAGAAACATTAAGCAACTAGAATCAAGAGAGAATCAAAGAGAAAGCATCAAACCTCAAGTTTGAGCATTTCAAGCCTATTTTTCATTCAATATTCATTTTGCTTTCAAGAACACTACTTGTACTCAATTGTATTCATTCTTGAGTGTTCTTTTCTTTGTTCTAGTATTGTGCAAACAATCTACCTTGTGAGGATTTCCTTGTAAGTTTGCAAATTTGTATTGTTCTCTTTGGGAGAGAGTGTTCTCAAGAATTTAGGGTATAATTCTTGAGGGTTGTAAGTTTACTCTTTGTCCTCAAAAGAAAGACAAATTAGTGAATTTGTGAAAAATCCTTAGTGTGGATAGCTAAGGTAATGGACGTAGACTTTGGTTGAGAAAGTCGAACCACTCTAAATCGTTGTGCAATTACTTTCAATTTTCTGCAAAAGCTTCCACCAAATTTTTGATTGCCAATTCACCCCCCTCTTGGCCGATTCCGTCAATCGATTAACTCAACATAAAGGACTAAAACAAAATAATAAATCATTACACATCAAAATATAAATAACCAAATAAACAAATTTGGAAATTTAAGGGACCAAACTGGATTAACATAAACTTGAAGGACTGGAAAGCTATTACAAATGAACCATATCCATAATTAGGGGTGTTCAAATAATCGAACTAATTCGGTTAACCGACCGAACCGAATTAGTTGGTCGGTTCAGTTACCGAATTAGTTTGGTCGGTTAACGGTTAAGAAAAGTTTTAGAATTCGGTTAACGGTTAATTCGGTTCGAATTCAGTTAATTAACCGAATTAACCAAAATTAAATTTTAAATATTAAATAAATTATATATAACATATGGGCTCAGCCTAAACCATTTAAAACCCAATTAATAATTTAAGATCCAATAACTTTTAAACCTAAATCAATATTAATTAATTAAAAATTTTATATAATTTTTTTATTTTATAATTATATATTATTTAAATTAATTGTAAATTGTTTTTTAATTAAAAAATATTAAATATATTATATAAAACATATGGGTTCAGCCCAAACCATTTAAAACCCAATTAATAATTTAAGATCCAATAACTTTTAAACTTAAATCAATATTAATTAATTAAAAAATTTATCTGAAATTTTTATTTTATAATTATATATTATTTAAATTAATTATAAACTTTTTTTGAATTACAAAAAAATTTCATTTTTATATAAATTAGAAAATTTTAAAAAATTTCGGTTAATTCGAAAATTAACCGAATTAACAAAAATTTATTCGGTTCGGTTAATATTTTCGAAAAAAAGTTCGGTTCAGTTAACGGTTAAAGAAAAAAAAAGTTTGGTTAATTTGGTTCGGTTTGGTTTTAACCGAATGAACAGCCCTTTCCACAATCAAATATAGTAAATAAAATAGGTACCATAAATGAAAATAATCCAAAAATAATGTTAGGAACCAAAATGAAATAAACCAGAAACATGACAGGCTAAATAATTATTAAACAAATATGTAAAACAGTGATTAAAATAAAAGATTTACAAATATCAGGGCCAAATTCAAACATCAACAAAAACACACAACACCTAAAATCAGTGACTAAAATGAAACATTTATAAACATTGGGACCAAAGTCAAATATTAACAAGAATGACATAATATACAATAACTTGACTAAAATATAAGTATTGAATCATAAGTACTCGAAATAAAATAAAGCAAAACTTCATTAAATGGCTAAAATAAACATTACAAAGGATAGGGGGACCCAAAGTGGGATTTACCCACGCACAAAAATATCGATTGGTGCCCCTCGAAACTACTTCGTTTCGTGGGGATATTTAAGCCTAAAATTGAGGCTTTCCCTCCTCCACTTTGTCATTTGCCTCGTTTCAGAAAAATAGGGAGAGAAAAAGAGTTAGAGAATTCTCTCAACTCTTTCATCGGTGGGGGAGGAGCCGTTGTTCGCCGGTGGCAATCCACGACAGCTCACGGCGGTCGGAGGGACCCAAATACCCTCAAAAGACTTCTCTCAACAAAGCTCAGACGACTGTCAAATTTTTAACAGAAAATGACAAGTTTGAAACATATGAATAGTGGAGTGACTATTTTATAATTTTTAATAGTCGAATGACTCAATAAAATAGTATCTTATAGTCAGGGAATTTATAACTTTTAATAGTTGGGAGACTCAACAAAGCAATATCCTATAATTGGGAGACCATTTATATACTTTACTCATAGTAATATTAAAACTTATTGTAACTTTTCCAAAAACACTGTCATGTTTTTCTTATTATTATTCTAAAATTATTGAACTTTACACGTCAAAACGGAGCCAAGATTAAATATTAAGAAAGATAATGTATCTAAATTTAAAATAATAAAGATTTATTATGTATATAATCTAAAAATTAGAGGGAATACAAATTTATTTTTACCTTTTTTTTAAATAGCCATATTATTAACTAAACATTGAATCAGCAGTGACCACTGCATTAATACAATTTGGAACATCAGCCTGGAAATCTAAAGTCGTGGAAATGGCCGAAGCATAATTTGCAAGAGCTTCCCGACAAATAAACCTAACTGAAATGTGAGGATGAGCGGCCAGGAGTTGACGAGCCTCACGAATATAAAACTGAAGAACAGAGCGATCACTTGAAGGTTTGTTGAGCTGTTGAACAACATTCCAGTAATCACTTTCAATCTCCACCCTCGGAACTCAACACTTATCGCCAAATGGACACCATGTGCGATCGCCAAAGCTTCCACGAAATTTGTTGAACGAGGAACATCAACATGGAACGCTCGTCGTGCCATAACCACACCATCACTATTGCGTAAAATCATGCCAATTGCGGGTAGATCAGGTGGCCGAGGGCAGGCCCCATCAACATTCAACTTGAAAGTACCCGCCGCAGGTTTAATCCAACGATGAATGTGCAATCCCGAAGACAGAGCGACCGCCAAGGAAGAAGAAGATACCGTAGCAGAAGCGAACGCTGCCTGGAGTGCATTACCAGACGTAATTAACTGCCACCCAGGAAGAAGATGACCTTCATGACAAAACACATTCCGCCGATGCCATAATTTCCACAGCAGGATCAAAAGAGTAATGAAGTGATACACCAGTAAAGTGTTCATCAAATGCTCCATCCAAGCTCCAAAGGAAGAAAACCCCAGTTGTTCCTCTACAGTGCTAAACCCCGCCTCATGAAGAATCGGAGCAACCATCGAGCAATCCCGCAATGCATGGGACACTGTTTCATTGTATGCGTCGCAAAGAAAACATTGAACATTGGTAGCCCCTGTGAAAGCAAGTCGACGGCCCACAGGCAAGGTTTTATATGCAGCTCGCCAACCAAACATACGGACTTGAGGAAGAGTGTGAAGACGCGACATAAATAACCACACTCTAGAAGGCTGAATCATTTCAGATGACTGCCGGGCTAACCATTTGTAACCAGATCAAACAAAGTAAGAACCGGAAGAGTGTCTGCTCCATATCTGCTCAATATACGGCACAGGCGAGATTACACATCGTAAAATTTAGTTAGCATCAGAAGGAGAAAATACCTGACGTATTAAGTGTTGGTTTTTGGCAAAAGTCCCACATTGGTTGTGTATAAGGAGGATGGGAAATTCTTTTGTTATAAATAAAGCCATCCTCCTCCTTAGTTTATCATCCCACAAATATAAGCCTTCTTCTATTTTAAAGGCTATTTGTATTCTTTCTCTTTGTAATATTTCCTCTATTAGTGAAATATTTTGGTGTTCTCTTTTATGTCTATTTAATAGCTATTGTCGGGTATAGTTGTTGTTAATTATTGTCCTATTAAAATTACTTGTCTTGGTAGTTCTGTCTAAGGAAAGTGGGTTTTAAGAGGGACCATTGTGACCCCTCCTCTTTCCTGGGAATCTACCTTGGGGTGATTTTTAGTACAATCGTTTTCACACTAGTCACCTAGATAATAGTTTTCAAGGTGAATTGTTATTGGTGGAAATTAACCCAAATTTCATAACAATTGGTATCAGCGCTCTTGGTTTATTTTAGTATGCTCTGTGATTGCGGCTTAGGATGATCTTCCACATCAGAAAAATTTCCTTGGGATAATTGACATTCCACATTGGCAGCTATTAAATAGAATTTGTAGCAGAAATGGCAGACGCTTCTTCATCTTTAATTTTGGCAAGAAATGCTGTGACAAATGTTAGATTTGCAGTGGAGATTTTTGATGGCACCAGTCATTTCGGCATGTGGCAAAGCGAGGTTCTAGATGCCCTATTTCAGCAGGGTCTAGACATTGCTATTGAAGGAGAGAACCCAGATGATGTTGAGGAGAAAGAATGGAAGAGGATCAATAGAATGACATGTGGTAATATTCGATCGTGTCTTTCTAGAGAGCAGAAGTATGCATTTTCTAAGGAAACTTCTGCAAGTAAATTATGGAAGGCACTGGAGGAGAAATTTTTGAAGAAAAGCGGTCAGAACAAACTCTACATGAAAAAGAGATTGTTCCGCTTCAACTATGTACCAGGTATCACTATGAATGATCACATTACTAGCTTTAATCAGCTGGTGACTGATCTGATGAATATGGACGTGACTTTTGAAGACGAAGATCTGGCTCTGATGTTGATGGGATCACTTCCTGATGAGTGTGAGTATCTTGAAACTACTCTACTTCATGGGAAGGTTAATGTGTCTCTCAGTGAAGTAACTGCTGCCTTGTATAGTTATGAATTGAGAAAGAAAGACAAACAAGAAAACACAAGTGTCGAAGCAGAAGCTCTTGTTGTTAGAGGCCGTTCCAAGAGTCAGAATAAAGGAAGCAGAGGGAGATCGAAGTCAAAGTCCAGATTGAGCAAAGATGAATGTGCCTTTTGTCGAGAAAAAGGGCACTGAAAGAAAAAATGTCCCAGGCTAAAGAATAAAGGCAAACCTGAAAGGGGGAAGGCTGTCTCAGAATCAAATGTGGTCGAGTATGATGATGGAGATTCAGATTTCACATTCGTTGCTACGCCATCAACCAGTTGTTCCAGTTCATGGCTGTTAGATTCAGCTTGTAGCCACCATATGACCCCCAATAGAGAATGGTTCTTTGATTTTAAAGAACTAAAAGGTGGAATTGTCTACACAGTAAATAATTCCCCTCTTGACACACTTGGGATTGGTTCAATTCGCTTGAGGAATCAGGATGGATCAATCAGAACCTTAACAGGTGTCCATTATGTACCAGATTTAATGAGAAATCTCATCTATGTGGGAACCTTAGAGTCAAAAGGTTTAGAAGTGAGGGCAAAAGATGGGATTATGATGATTATCTCTGGTGCACTGGTGATAATGAAGGGAATCCGAAAAAAGAAACAATGTGTATTACTTTCTGGGTAGTACAATTGTTGGGACAGCAGCAGTGGCAGCTTCTACTGATGAACAGGAGTCAGAAGCAACCAGGTTATGGCATATGTGCTTGGGGCATGTTGGTGAAAAATCCTTGAAATTACTGATAGATCAAGGATTATTGAAGGGTGCTCGGGCTTGCAAATTAGCTTTTTGTGAGCATTGCATCAAAGGGAAGAAGACGAGGGTGAAATTTGGAACAACAATCCATGATACTAAAGGTATTTTGGATTATGTTCATTCAGATGTATGGGGGCCTTCCAAGACAACTTCATTGGGAGGAACACACTATTATGTCACCTTTGTTGATGATTTTTCCCGGAGAGTTTGGGTGTATCCAATGAAAACAAAGGATGAGGTGCTAGGATTTTTCCTTAAATGGAAAAAAGATGATGGAGACTCAAACAGGCAGAAAAATCAAACGTCTCCGTACAGACAATGGTGGAGAGTACAAAAATGATCCATTTCTGAAAGTCTGTGAAGAGGAAGGTATTGTTGGGCACTTCACTGTCAGAGGTACACCACAACAGAATGGGGTGGCAGAGCGTATGAACCGGACATTAGTGGAGAAGGTTCGGTGTATGTTGTCTAATGCTGGGTTAGGCAAAGAATTTTGGGATGAGGCTTTGGTATATTCTTGTCACCTTGTCAACCGCTTACCATCGACTGCTATTGGTGGTAAAACACCATTAGAGAAATGGTTTGGAGTACCTGCTACAGATTATGATTCCTTACATGTGTTTGGTTCCACTGCATACTACCATGTTAAGGAGTCAAAGCTGGATCCAAGAGCAAAGAAGGTGATCTTTATGGGGATCACCTCTGGTGTGAAAGGCTATCGTCTTTGGTGTCCAGAAACAAAGAAAATAATCTTCAGCAGGGATGTTACCTTTGATGAATCTACCATGTTGAGAAAGGTAACTTCAGAAAAATTGGAGCAGACAGATGGAACTCCCAAACAGGTGGAGTTTGAAGGAAGCAAATTTGTCCCAACCAGTAAATAAACTGATGTTGACTCTCCTATGGTAGAAGAAGAGTCAGATGAAGAAGAGGTTCAGACCCAAGAACCTCCACAGCAACATGAATCAATTACACTCAGAAAGGGAAAGAGGACCATTAGACAACCTGCTCGTTATGCTGATATGGTCTCTTTTGCATCACCAATTGCAATTGATGACGTTCCTGCCACTTTTAATGAAGCAGTTCAAAGTTCAGAACATAAAAAGTGGAGGATCGCCATGAATGAAGAAATGCAATCCCTTCAAAAGAATCAGACGTGGAAACTAGCTAGTCTTCCGAAGGGAAATAAGGCAATTGGGTGCAAGTGGGTATATGCAAAGAAAGATAGATTTCCTAACAAAAATAACATCCGCTACAAAGCAAGATTGGTGGCTAAAGGCTACGCTCAAACGGAGTGAGTTTATTATAATGAAGTATTTTCTCCAGTTGTAAAACATTCCTCCATCAGAATTTTGTTGGCTTTGGTATCGTAGTTGGATTTGGAACTAGTTCAGATGGATGTAAAAACTGCATTTTTACATGGAGACTTGGATGAGGAAATCTACATGACTCAGCCAGATGGATTCAAAGTTGCTGAAAAAGAAGAGATGGTGTGCAAATTAGAAAAATCGTTGTACGGATTGAAGCAATCTCCAAGGCAGTGGTACAAGCGATTTGACAAGTTTATGATAGGGCAGAAGTACACAAGAAGCAAATATGATCATTGTGTGTATTTATGCGAGCTAGAAGACGGATCCTATATATATCTTCTTCTTTATGCTGATGATATGCTGATAGCTTCCAGGAGTCAGACAGAAATTGCGAAACTAAAGACTCAATTGAATAGGGAGTTTGAGATGAAGGATCTTGGTGAAGTGAAGAAGATTCTAGGCATGGAGATATCAAGGGATAAGAAATTGGGGAGGCTTTGTTTGTCTCAGAAAGAATATCTGAGGAAGGTACTAAAATGTTTTGGCATAAATGAGATGTCAAAACCAGTTAGTACACCTCTTGCTCCTCATTTCAAGCTCGGTGCATCCATGTCACCTAAGGATGATGCAGAACGGGAATACATGTCAAAGGTTCCGTATGCAAGTGCTTTTGGTAGCTTGATGTATGCAATGGTGTGTACGAGACCCGATATTTCACAGGCAATTGGGGTTGTGAGCAAGTATATGCATGATCCTGGAAAGGAGCATTGGCAAGCTGTGAAATGGATTCTGCGGTATATTCTGAACACCGTAGATGTTGGTTTGGTCTTTCAGCAGGACAAACAAGATGGTCAGTGTGTATTTGGGTATTGTGATTCAGACTATGCAGGTGATTTGGACAAGCATCGGTCAACTACTGGTTATGTGTTTACATTTGCAAAGGCACCAGTCAGTTGGAAGTCCACCTTACAGTCAACAGTGGCTTTGTCTACTACAGAGGCAGAGTATATGGCAGTTACAGAGGCTGTGAAGGAGGCAATTTGGCTTCAAGGGTTGCTTGGTGAATTGGGAATGGAACAAAAGCACATCAAAGTGCACTGTGACAGTCAGAGTGCTATTCATTTAGCAAAGAACTAGGTTTACCATGCAAGGACGAAGCACATCGATGTTCGATATCACTTTGTACGAGAGATTCTAGAAGAAGGTGGAGTCATAATCCAGAAGATTCGGACCACTGAGAATCATGCTGATATGTTGACAAAAGTGGTAACTGCGGTCAAGTTTAAACATTGTTTAGACTTGGTCAATATTGTTACAAATTAAAAGATTGTTTTTTTTAGAGATGTGTGTGGAATTTGTCAAGGTGGAGATTTGTTGGTTTTTGGCAAAAGTCCCACATTGGTTGTGTATAAGGAGGATGGGAAATTCTTTTGTTATAAATAAAGCCCTCCTCCTCCTTAGTTTATCATCCCACAAATATAAGCCTTCTTCTATTTTAAAGGCTATTTGTATTCTTTCTCTTTGTAATATTTCCTCTATTAGTGAAATATTTTGGGGTTCTCTTTTATGTCTATTTAATAGCTATTGCCGGGTATAGTTGT